GGCAAAAAATTGACGAAAAGCATATTATTCCAAAATCAGAGTAACGGATGTTGAAGTAGTTTTTTCTTTATAATCCATTCTTTCAAGAAAGAATAGAAGTGATAGTTGTTTTATACTTTTGGTATTTTTAATAAATAAATTCGATTTTCATAAATCTTTACGAGCTTTTTACCACTACCCTCTAAAATGCAACATTAATTTCTGAATAAGCTATAAGACGACACACCGTCAACAAAGTGGAGAATTAGTTATGCGTCTTGTTGCTTTTATTGGCCTTCTGCTAGACTAGGTTATCTATTCACTGACATATCTCTTCGCTTTATGTGGCTTGAGTCAACATCAAATCAAATGCCAGGAAACATCAAAAGAGACTGAATGAGAAATTACAAATATTGTATGAATGGGAATAGATTTTGAATAAAATAAATTCACTTGGCTATGACGACATGCGTCGGCGAATTGGATGGACACATGTTTCATACAATAATTCCTTACAAATATATCTAACCAAATGTTTTTACATCCTTTTCTGTCTGATTGTCTGCATATATCTGGAGTTTCTTTGCATCGGTCACTGACCGTTCGTATGTTTTTCTTTCAACGTCACTCTACCTGATGATATCAGGCTTCTACCATTTTCCTTCAAACATTGATATCACATTCCTTAGGCAAAAATACATGTAGATGTTTTTTTTTATTTGGGATCACCCAAAGCAAGGCAATAATGCCACTTAAGAACAGAAACGTTACTGATGAGCAGAAAGAGAAGAGAGTAATCAGGTGGACAGTAGATAGCGATTCACATTGCATCTAAATTTTTGCAGATTAAATGGAGCCGGAAGGGAGTTCCACAAGCATGGAAACTGTTAGCATAAAATTTACGGCTACATTTGACTCAACTGAAAAATAATGAAGTCTCAACGTCAGTCTAGTGCTGCGCTTAAATTAAAATCTCTAAGTACCATAGAGAAGAACTCATATATGGCAGCAATATTCTAAGCATGGACGAATGGTAGACATAGATATGTAAAAGCTTCTAGAGAGAAAAATTGTCTTGGCTGACATAGTGAACTGACGTTTTTAGCAGCTGACCTAGCAATGGATTCAATGTAATCTTTCCACTTCATAACAGCAGAGGAAATGAGCTCGAGAAAGCGCAACGTGTCGCTTTCCTAGAGGTTAGTATCAGCCGTGCTGATCGAAGGTAGCGAAGGATCTCTCAGATGATTAAGTTTAGTTTTGGAGGCATTAAAATTAACAAGCTTAACATCTTTTGGTCCAGTTAACTACGGACTTGAAGTCGTTTTGGACATCGGCTGCCATTTTGACCTTGTTAGCCTGATCAGCCTTAATATCGAGTCAGGAGAAAACTGTTGTGTTTTCAGTTTAGATACCAAGTTGAGAGTTGATGTCATCAAGAAGGTTATTAATGAAAAATAAAAATAGACTAGAAACCAGGATGAAGCCCTGTGAAACACCGGCGTTAGTACGAAAGGAGAATACTCATTTCACGAGTTGATAGGAAAGACTGGATCATTTCCAAAAAGTGTTTTGAGATGCCATAACTTTTGAGCTTGTGAAAAAAACCTAAATGCCAGACCATGTCAAAGGCTTTCGAGTTGTCCAATGCAACAGCCCGGGCTTCATCGTTTTTTATCTGGAGCACGAAAAACTCTTTCCGCCAATATTGTCAATACATCAGCAGTTGACCTGGAAAAACGAAAGCCATATTGCTTTTGTAAGAAAAGGCCCTGCGACAAGTGATGACGAACCAATTCAGATTTGATTAGGGTTTCTAAGAGTCTCCAAAAAATATGTAGAGGCCTAATAGATCGATAGTTGGAAGGGTCGGACAGCTTACCAGATTTCTTAAAACCTGGAACAACGGATGATAACTTCCAGCAGGCAGGAAAACAGGAGGCAGCGAGGTATTTATTATAGAGTTTAGAGAGAATATGAATCAGTTCGGGAGCACACTTCTTAATAACTAATACAGGGATACGATCGGGTCCACTTGCTTTGTGGGGATCTATGTTAGATATGATAGCAGAAGCCATGGAAGTGGTTATATGCATATCACTCAACAGAGACTCTGTTATAGGAGGGAAGTTAGTCAAGGATATTCTGAATGAGTCAAGAGTAGAGTCTGAGGAGAATTTACGGGCAATGCATTGAGCTTTATCAGTAGAGGATGAAAACACTTCATATTGACTGAAGAGAGGAACACTAAAGATCTTAAACTTATTTAATGCCCTATTACAGAGCCGCCAATAATCGTGAGAGCCAAAGTTGTTAGAGGCTATAGCAGCCGAGCATGTTGGTGTGAACCATGGAGTGGATGAGGTTTCGCCAGGTATTTCCGAAAAGGAATGAAAGCCTCCATAATAGCTTTGACCCAAGAAAAAATCTCAGTGGCACGTCATGGAGAAAATCACGGATTCCCAATCAGCATGCTGGTAACCGTAAGAAGCCGTGTGGATAGAAGATTCTTGTTTAAAATAGGATTGGAACGAAATATGAATAGCTATTACAGAGTCGTCAGAATTACCAAGAGGTCAGAGGAGAGGAAGTAAGAAATAAATCAAGTAGAGAAACATGTTGCTCAGGGAAACGAGTAGGGAATCTACGATTCAAGTAAGGGATTGTGAAATGGAAAAATTTAATGTCTGAACACTGACAACATAAGTCCCTTTAGAATGTTTAAGCCACGTGTTGTGGTGAGCATTAAAGTCACCAAAGATAAAGATTATCGCAGATGGATGGGAAGAAAGTGCCTTTTCTATACTTTCAGAAATTACGTCTAATATATTGCAGTCCTGTGAAGAAGGGGAGCGATAAAGGAAAAAGAGTTTAACAGAGTTTAGTAACGTAATCACATAAAGGAGTAGTCTGGGGTTCCGAGAGACAATTCCCTGGCCATCAGAAGATTATCCCGGATGTAAACACCAAGGCCATGTATGTGAATGCTGGAATCTTTTCAACAAAGGGGAAGATAGCCTGGAAACAAGAATTCATTGACAGCATAGGAAGAATTTAAGTTTCATAGAAGGCAAAGATATCTGGCAACCGTTCAAAGAGGAAAGATTCTAAACTGCAAATGCTGGAACGGATACCACGAATATTAGTGAAACAAAGGCTCAGGTGGGGTAGGTCATTTTTTTGTTTACTGGTTTAGTTATATTTCTTTTTGTTGTATTTTCCATGAAAATCGTTTTGAGGAGAGAGAGAGAGAAAAGACCACTGTAATTGTCACCATCTGTCGTCAATGGTAATACAAACCAGCCAGAGCATGGCTGAGAACAGAGCATAGTGTGTCCTCAGGGTTGCCCACAGGAAATACATGCAGGGACACCTAGCCATGCACGACATGGCACTACCCCGGTATTATGCGACTGTTGATCAGAGCACCCAACCACCAATCGGAAGGCACAGCCAGCAAACTGCCAACACTGTATTCTCACAAATGAAAGTCACAGCCACTAATTAGTCCGATCACCAAAGTGTTAATTCATTGTGGTCCTGGCAGAAAAAAATGAAGGAGAACCAGAAACAAGGGATGAACCTCTACTCCTGTTCAATATATATGAAAGGAGTTTGAGCTGAACGATAAGTGAGTCTATCTATTCCTATTAACCCAAAGAAATTATCTATGAATAATATATTATCTATTTACAATTTAAATAATACATTATATATTTATAGTTATGAAAAACAAAAGTGATGTCTCTATTCCAATCTATCATTGTATGTTTTATTCACGGGAAAATTGCATAGTAATCGAATTTGATGCCACAAAGTGATGTCACAGCTAATCGATATCCCAACTGATTTCGGAACTAAGTAATTAAATGAAACTGATAAAATTTGAAAATGAAAGTCACTTATTTCCTTATCTTCAATGTGGATTGAAAGTAGTTTGACTGTTTACAGTAAGAAAATGAATAAATAGATAAAAAATTAAATAAAAGACCAAAATCTCTTGGGGTTTTATGATAAACATTGGAAATTCGCATGACGATAAAATATTCTGTCTGTAGTGTTTTTAAACAAACACACACAAACGTACGTACATATACTCATTCGGTGTTGAAAAAAATTTGTATTTAATTTTTTCTACTGTTTGGACATTATTTCAGGACTGCGAGAAACTGAACATAAATTGTCCAACAACATTCGTGTTTCATAAGTGATTTTCAAGGAGTTTTATTTGATAGGGCTGTCTCTGTGTGTATGCGTTTTCTTTTAATTTGCTAGATTTCTAGTGTCAAGTCTTCACCTCTCGGTGGGTTCCATATTTTTATTTTTTTTTCAAGTTTTATATATATATATATATATATATATATATATATATATATATATATATATATATATATATATATCGTTGCCATTCCTCCTTCAGAAACATCTAGAGGATTAACTTGGCAATTTCCAACCTGATAGGGGAAATAAAAAGTCACGCCGTCAGCCATAGTGACTCTTATATAACTAGTTTCTTGGAATTGGTTAGGTGCTTAACGTTTCTTGGAATTGGTTAGGTGCTTAACGTTTCTTGGAATTGGTTAGATACTTAACGTACTGAGACCCACCGGAAGGGACATGTTTCCGTATCCAAAAGTAAAAAAAAACTCATTGTAATTGTTTGGACGTTGTATGAACAACGTTCGTCGGACGAATCCATGATATCATCAACCAGAAAAAAGGTAATCGCTGAGCAGCTGAGATGCGTGATGTCTGAGGACAACCGATAAAATTCTTACGTGGTGAAGAGGGAATAGTTTATAACTTAAAAGAACCTAAAGAACTATGTTATTGGACTGAAGAACTCGATGGACAAGTTCTTGCTTCCTGGAGAATCCGGCATGTTTTATTTCATCACCAGCACCAGAACTCGAACAGCACACAAAATTGCCACACCTGCTGTGATAGCAATGTGAGCAACGAGAGCTAGGATGTCAGGATCTCATGGGATTAACGTTATCCTTTTAGAGTCTCACATTCAAATGTCACCGAGTGTTTATATCGATGGGTTGGACACAGCAAGCGGGATCAATCAAGATCATACCAATTCCATCAAAACTCTTTTCGTTCTCATATGGTACATAAGGTACACTATCATGTTCCCATCAACATATAGTTTTCCAGAACTCCTAATTTAAATCTCTGGACTATGTCTATGGTGAATATTTGCGAAAATTCTTTTTTGAAAATATGATAAATTTTTGTATTGAATATCCTCATTTCTTTATATTGTAATTTGTTCTGAATTATGTTCATATCTTTCATTCATTCATTCTTTCTTTTCGTTATATATATATATATATATATATATATATATATATATATATATATATATATATATATAGATAGGATAGGATGGGTAAATTGTAGCCATTTTGTATATATAATTTCGCGCATTCGTGTTGTTTTTGATTTTGTTGACTGCACAGTAGAGTAGGATCTGTTGAGCACCATTTGTGAGAAAAAGATCCCTATGAAACAATTCATTAACCAGAAATTTAGAAACGGCACGTTTTACTGCGCGGGAATTGAGCCGGAGGACCGATTACGAACATTTCCGAGTATTTGGGTGTCAATTTCAGGACAGTGCAGAGAATTTGGAAAGAGTTATATGAGTTTAATGGTGATTACAAATGTACGGCAGCTCGATAAATTCACTATGATTATTCTGATATAAAAGTAACTCCCCAATTTGTTGGTGAGGTCCTCAGTCTCAATACGGAAGCCTACATCAAATTCGTTCAGGAGGTAGCGCTGCCCTAGGTCAAGATGGTAGCTGCTAGAAGACCCACTGTCTAGCATCACGACTCTAAACTTCCCACACAAGCAGGAGAATCCAGTCATGTCTGTCAGATAATTTCTTCAAGCACATCACCCCTTAAATCTGGCCACCTATCTGCCCAGACTGCAACCTTTTTGATTATTATGCGTGGGACGCAGTTGAGCAAGAATCAAAAACAAAGAACGCGCATGCGCGAAATTAAATATATTAATTAAATAGCAACAATTTACCCATTGCACCCTGTAGGTTAACGGGTGGTGTGTATTTAGTTAAAATTTTCTATATTTAATGAAAAAAGGAGCTCAATATCCGAAAAATCGTTTATAGATATCGACAGTGTTGACATCGGATTCAACACTGCATAGTGACTGTTAGCTTCACGTTTCACTTCTTCTGAAGACTGCACTAAATCGTAAAACTGACAGTCCTATATCCACTCTCTTTCCCACTTTGTCTCATTTTTCTACTCTCTCTATATTAACTATACACACATAAACTTGCAATTATATATTTATATATAAACATATGCACACACAAATGTGCGTATTAAATAAAGATCCTTCAAAACATGCAAAAATAAACTGATGTTTAAATTTCAATAGGTTTCTATAAATATTATATTTCTTCTTTTCAAGACGACATATATACGCACCAACACACACGCACACACATACAAACACACACACACACAAACACACACATATCTATATATAATTTATCATAAAAAATTATTACATTACATGAGAAATTGTATAAAAACTAAATCAAATCACTCAAAAGAATTGCTGACTAAATACACAAATATATATATATATATATATATATATATATATATATATATATATTGAGATTTACTTTTTCTTGATGAAGAATTAATTTCCATATGTTAGACTTAAAATGTAAAAGAATAGACCAAAAAAAAAAATTAAAATCAATGCCTGTTTGTATCTTTGGAAAAATTTTGAATTTTAAATTTAGTGTGCGATGTCGTTTGAAGAGGATATTATTTTTGAACTTTAAAAGATTCTCGTGTCGCATAATATAAAGTAAAGCCCAAGACTTTAAATCCATTTTAGGATTCCTTTTCCACAATAATAAGTTATTTCCTTGATTATTGGTAGTTTTGACATAATATTAATAACTTGTAAGTTTTGTAATCTTTGTATACAATTTTTTGGTGAGTATGACTGTTATTCCTGCGTAATTCTCTTATATTTTTTTATAATTTTTTCAATCTTTTATGTTAACGTATATCTCTTTGATTAGAGTTATAACAAGTCAACCTACACGAAAGATTTCTCAGCCAAAACTGTATACAGATACGAATGCCTCGTCTCAGAAAGACAGACAAAAGCCATATATTCTCGTATAAAATTCTATCACCTGACTGAGGTGATTGCTTTTAGTTCTGATAAAGCTAAAATAGATCAAATTAGGTCCTTATTAAGACATCCAAGAATGATCTGAATTCGAGTCTAACTCTTGCGTAAAATGATGACTGTTGATTGATCTAAAGTCAGTATTTAGAAGACCCGTAATTCGGGAGCTTCACCTATTATTCCAGATCGTATATTTTGCAATCAGTTACAACCGTCAATTTCGTGGTTCCTTAACAAGTGATCTTTCATGACACAATGGATTATAGAGACGACATTTTCAGTGGATTTCATTAATGCAATGAAATCTCAAACGAGAGCATCCATAACTAAATAAAACTATTTTATAGTGTTCGCCCTCTATCTATCTATCTATCTATCTATCTATCTATCTATCTATCTATCTATTTCACATTTCTTGTATTCTCTCTGCGTAATGTAAAACGTATTACGTCTACGTCTTCCTTCAACAAGAACTTTTCAGAGTTTGCTTTTCTCTTGAAATGATAATCACTAACAAACCATTTATTTTTTTATTTTTTATTATTTCTTTTCTGATAAGATATATTAGTCATTTATTCCGGACATAAAAGAGCAAAATAAATGGAGAAATTTCTTGGTATATTTTTGCTCGTTGGTTCAAAATCCTAACGAGCAAGAAAACAACGTCGTTTTTCAGTTGTCCAAGTAAACATTTTTAAAATTTCTCTTTGCTTCTCTGCTTCCGTAATGTTCTAAATGTTCTGCGCATGCGAGAATGGAGAATTTGAAAATTGAAAGACATTATAAAAAAGATCAACACAAAATAAATAGTATAGTACCCGTAAAAAATGATAAGATTATGCACGTATTGTTCAGCACTTCTGCCTTATTATTTGTGTAATCTAAGAAAAGTGCTACATGCCCACAAACCTAGATATAGAAAGTGTTTTATATATGTAGATATTTGTTTAACTTGTGCATAATTTCTATGGATACTACATTAGTTAAAAAATTGGAATTAAAAAAGAATTTATTGTAATTTCTATGGAAAAATATCGACATAGCTGCCAGATGTTAAAATATAATAGTGATTGAAAAATGTTAAATGTGATTTCATTGTTTGAAATGAATTTCATGCATCAATAATATTTGAAAAAATAAATACAATTACGGATCATTCAAAAAATTATAAATAGTAAAAAATAAAAGTGAAAAATAATTTTAATTTGCTGCATTAAGCAGCTGAACGCTGGCATCATAAATATTCTAATTATCTAGTGTGTGTGTGTGTGTGTGTGTGTGTGTGTGTGTAACACTTTTCTATGTAATCAAAAGTAATCACTAGGTAGGAGTGGGTGAAATGACAAAGTACAAATATCACATGTTTAGAGTAAAACTATTCTAAACACTTAAATTGTGATTGGCTCTGTAGATAAATAAACGTTACAAATAGGTTTAAATATATGTATATATTAAAAATTACTTTTATTTATTATTTTTATTTATAGAAAAGAAGTAAATTATTTATTTAATTTTATTTTTAGTTTAATTTTTATATTCGGAAAGTATTAAACTTTATTGACGCTTATTTGTGAAATCAAATAAAAGAACGTTTGTCGAAATTTGTTTTATTCGTTCTGTTTTATTTAATATTCAGTTATGTTAGCCAAAGAAAAGACATGATTGTTTGCAAGAAAAAATACAGAAATTTTAGATTTAATAGCTTTTGTAGAAGAAGCATTAAGTGACTCGCGCAAATAATATCCGAAATTTGTAAGTATTTTTTCTATTTGAGGCAACGTCACAACATCAATCTTTATTAAGCTTTCATATTTGTTAATTAATGATAATACAGTTATATATAAAATATATTACTTTTTTTATAGCTTGCTGATAGATTTTCCTTGGAAAATACCATGAACATAACTTTTTACTATTCCCCCCCCCCATAAAAGATCTAAATGTCACTCAAGGTATAAGGTTACTGAATGAGGATGTTGTAAGAGGGAGGAAGGGGTTGCAAATTATGAGGATATGTTGAATAGATAATGGTTGACTTTTGACTTGAAGATTGTAGTGATCGTGGAGGCATCCCATCAGGAGTCCGTTTTACATTGCAACAGTTCTGGGCAATCCAAGTGAAACTTCCTCCTTACCAATGGAATATGAAGCGAATGAGAATCGTTGTACGTAGCATGGCAGCTTCGAGGTGTGAAATGCAAATTAATTATAAATAATTCTTTATAGATTTTCTCTGTGGATGATGCAAGTCGACTCTTCCTTTGTGTAGATCAGTAAATGTATTATTTGATGTCTTCTATTGATAGGGAAGCCCCAAAATATTGTCTCTTATTAAAATCTGTTTATATAATATCACAGACATGATTTATTAAGTAAATATTCACTGTAATGATTGCATATATAAGCTATATCGCTTTTCTCTATGTATGCCGTGTTCCTTTAGAACTTTAGCGATCATGGCCCTCTACAGCTTCTCGGTTTTTGTTGCTCTTAGAAGTACATTGTTCTTTATGGCTTTTCTTTCTATTTCTATTACTTGATCCTTGTTTAAAATTGTCAAGTAGGTTTATTTCATGCCTTTTCTGTGCCTCTCTGAAATTTGATATGTCTCGTGTGTGTTGAATTTTCCAAACATATTTCCTCGTTATGTATTTCAAAAATATCATTTATCTCTTTGTAATTGTTAAAACTAGTTTATTTGTTGAATTTCCCATTCTTAAAGATTCTTCATTTGTTATTCCCCATCCCCTCTGCCTACGGTATTCTAAACGTTTGTCGGCTAAACGACACCCGCGGTTGACTTTTTATTGTTTTTTACATTTATCATGAAATTGTTTAGCTTCCATATAGGATTGTGAACATAACAGAAAAGTTTGGCAATCTTTCCATTGTTTCTAATATTTTTCGATCTCTTAATACCTGATCAAGTTTCTGAAAACCAGTTACACTCTCCACCGTCTGTTACAACACAGCACGGATAATTAAATTGTTACTTCCAGTTTAATTCTGCTACAAATCCGGTTCATTATAATTCTAATTAGTAGTTATGTTAGTTGGCTTATACAACCGTTTATTGGATGGAATTATTATTGGTTCATTCGCTTTCCCAGAAAAGCGAAGATTTTGAAGTCCGATTTTTGAGGTAAAAATTCCTACTTGAATGATTGGCACAACGTAGGCTTCCTTTTCTCCTTCCTTTTCTCTTTTCTTTTCTCCTTTTTCTTCTTCCTTTTCTCTTTTCTTTTCTCCTTCCTTTTTTCTTTTCTTCTTCCTGTTCTCTTTTCTTTTCTCCTTTCTTTTCTCCTTTCTTTTCTCCTTCCTTTTTTTCTTCTCTTCTTCCTTTTCTCTTTTCTTTTCTCCTTTCTTTTCTGCTTCCTTTTCTTCTTTTTCACCTTCCTTTTCTTCGTCCTATTCTTTCTTTTTCTCCTTCCATTTCTCTCTTCTTTTCTCCTTTGTTTCTGATTCTGTTTCTCCTTCTTTTTTTCCTTTTTTTTTCTATTTCTGTTTTCTTTTCTCCTTCCTTTTCTCTTTTCTTTTCTCCTTCCTTTTCTCCTTTTTCTTCTTCCTTTTCTCCCTCCTTTTCTCCCTCCTTTTCTCCCTCCTTTTTCTCCTTTCTTTTCTCCTTTCTTCTCATTTTATCATGTGTCGTAATAATAATTATGCCTCAACTTACGAATGGATTCCCATGCAAAACTACGAATAATTCCCTAGCTGAAAAACTATGATCCTCATTTTATTGTTACAAAATATTTCGTTTGATATTTCCGCGGTATGTTGCGTAGTTTCTTATTTTCTCACCAAAACCAGAACGCAAAAGTTCAACAGAATCATAGGACTGTGTGTTATGGTTTCGTGATATTGATAATGTGAAGTAGTCGAAGTTAGAAAAAATAATGTCGCTAACATAATTAATGTGCACAATGGCGTTGCTAAATTTCTATTCATTGGTTTAGCTTTTTGCTGAAATTTACAAATGCCAAGGTAAAAGTTCGAAAATATCTAGTTATCTATAAATGGCCCAAAGTCCAAGAATCAATAGATAGATTATTTTTAAAAAGTGAATTGATCAGAAAGTTTTTATCAAAAATATTTACCATCTTGATTAGTCCATCGTATTTTGCATATAGGCCCATATGCAATTATTCCTAATGTCAAGTTTGACTATGATGTTAATAGCAACTGTATTCTACTGCCCGAGTATGTCAAATAGTTATTGAATAGGTTTCAAGACGAGAACATATTTATGTCGTTTCTGGCGATAAGGAAGTGAAGCGCCGAGAGAAATCAATTCAAACCTTTATCGAGGTTATTCGTTCAAAATGAGAATCTGAAATATTAGGCGAAATTATAGAAAAGATATTTATCAGTTATTTTCTACCAACTTTGGTCAATTTACGATGACCTAGCAAACTGATTTCACTATTATCTAGTGAGTTCGATGCACAATGGGTGTTCTTTACTAAAACTAAGCTTAGTAAGTTATGAGAAGAAAAAAAAAAAACTTTCCTTCGTCTTGATGACTTTACTGAAACTTCTCAACGTGTGAATAAATATCTTTTTCTGAAATGAGAACATTAAAAACAACCAATCTCGTTATGCGAATATTTTCGCATGTAAAAATTGATTTGAAGCAATAAATTGTTTATAATAATATTTAATGAATAATTAACGTGATTTGATCGGGAATTTTGAATAAACCGATTAAATAAGAATGGAAATTTCTGCTGTAATTGACTCACTGTCCTAAACATTTAACAAATTTATTACCGATTTTATTTTCTACGCCTACAAATGGGTAATAATACTGGTTACGTGAATTTAATCTTGAAATGAAATAGAGCGACAGGTGGAGAAAGAGAGACATAAAGCCTGAAGAGGAAAAGAAATAGAGATTAACAGAGAGAAAAGAGGGGGAAGCAAAATTAGAGAGAAAGAGAAAAAGAGTGGCAAAGAAACAAAGAGTGAAAGGGAGAGATTAAATATATTATGTTGAGTCTAGATAAATTCTTTTCGATTATAGTTGTAATAGAGTTAGTAGGTAGAATAATAATTTATATAAATATTATATATATATATATATATATATATATATATATATATATATATATATATATATATATAAACAGTATAGAAATAAAATTCAGAGAGAGTGAGAGAGAAATACATTCTGACATACACAGTGAAACACCATGCAAACCACAATATCTGAAGAACAACATTAATTTTCTTGATATTATGTAAGAACAATGTAATTACAACATTATTATTTATTTCTGTGATTTCTTACAGCAAGTGCAAATTATAAATAATTCTTTATAGATTTTCTCTACTTCGATAATAACAACGATACTTATTCTCTGAACGATAAATGATATTTACTGAATTTCTTTTAATACGCTACAGGGCCACAAATATGCGGAATCCAGTGAAGATCGAAGTCAGTTCAGTATAAATCGTCTACAAGAATAGATATTTAAAAAGATTAATTCAGTATGACACAAAGTGAAAACTTTTCATTATACAGTAAATATCAAACACACTCCAGTGGTTTACGAGACAAGCTTAACCTTACCATTGTTTGAGGCCAGACACACAATTACAGTCGTGAATTAGAATTTTAGAACTGTAGATTGGGAGATGTCAAAGTGCCCACAGTTTCTGAAATGGGCTAACCAATTCGTCTAGCACCAGAGAGTATGTCCCGTTTGAACTTCAATAATTCACGTCTGCTTGACATGAGCATCCTAGCCAGTGTTGAGACGGACTTACCAGTTGCCCAAGCGCATCTGAGTATTTCTGTGTACGATGGTATCTCTTACCATTACTTTGACTTTTGGCGCGTCAGTATATATATATATATATATATATATATATATATATATATATATATATAAGAATATGACAAACTGGAAAATATGACGCATTTCATCCGTAAATTGTCGCAAGAAATTTTGCAGTTTGTCATATTTTTTCAACATACTGTCTGTTGATATATAAAATTATATATCGTTATATTATATATATATATATATATATATATATATATATATATATATATATATATATATATATATATATATATATTGTCGTGTCTTTAAGCATATATTTGTGTGTGTGTGTGTGTGTTAGAGAGAGAGAGAGAGAGACAGGTGAATATGTATAATGTCGCTAGCAATTAGGATATGCCCGTAGAGAAATTAGGACTGCCAATGCCAGAAATGATGTTGTTATATGATAACAAGATGTCTTTTATTGTTTTGTAACAATTCTATATATGTCAGAGCAAGTTTGTTACTTTCAGATGTTTCTGTTTCCGGAACATTATTCTTTCTTCATAATAATTCTAATTGTGGAGTTCAATAAAACAAGAACAGGCGCCAATATGACAAGAAAGAGCAGCAGAGACCGTCTTGTATTCTTCCTGTTTTATCTAAATACCGTTTTTTTTTTCTATTATTGACTGTGGTATACGAAATCTTATATAAGTTTCTGTAGGTGTTTATCATTGAGTTTCATCTGATGAGTTCTTCGACTTTCTGCAGGTCTTTAATTCATTTGATGAGGGCACTTCGATGTGGTGTAATGGTTAGCAAGCTTGTCTTGCTAGCTCAATTACGATTGCGTAGTGAATTCGATTCTCACTTGGTGCTCTATACTTTCGACCCTGTACCACATCTAAGATACGCTTAGTAAATCGCCAAAAGATATTTGATGGGATTTGTGCTATTTTCGTTTACTTCTCAAATTCTTCAGCAATGTTTAACTTGGGGGCATTTTCTCAGTGTTTTTTCAAACTACTTATTCGGAGATTGCTTGCTGAATGGATTTCCTATAAAATTGATTTTGGTAATTAAGAAAATTGCAGGATATTTCCGGGATCGAAAGAAGCGAAGAATTCCATCCTTACCTAATATATTGGTCGTTCAATGTCCCTCTCTTTCTTTCACACCCAAACATGTACGTATATATAAATATATGCACACGCACGCACGCACACACATACACACACACACACATATATATATATATATATATATATATATATATATATATATATACGAAGTAACCAAATGATAAAAAACAGATATACAGCAAATTTGGCATACCGTTAGTCCTCAAATTAATTCCCATCGGCATCCAGAACTTTTAGCCAATGTTCCACCAGTTTCGCAATGTTCTAGCGATAAAAATCAGATTTCTTGGACGCAAAGTTTTTCCCACGAAGATTTTCGTCCAGAGAATGGAAGAGATGGCAATCTGTTGTGGGGGGGCGATCAGTGATGGCACAATGTATCTCAGCCGTATTGTATCCCTGGCTACCTGCATCATGTCCTGGCATTGTCATGAACGAACAGTTCCCCCCCCCCTGCGATTTACCAATGTTGGTCCTTCTGCTTCAGTGCCAGTTGCACACAACGGCTGCGAGTACAGGTCCACAGTGATGGTTTGGCAGTTGGTAGCAGTTCATAGTGCACCACTTTTTGACTAGTCCACAAGATACAGAACATGACCATGTGTGGATGTAGAGGTGGTCTTGCAAAGGGTCCCGTTGTGACAACCTATGTATTAAGGTGTCTGAGTGTGTTATGCAGGATACATGTTTTGTAACTGGTGTGCACTTGATCAAATATGGATACGTTGCGTTGCCAAGAAAGCAATGAGAAGCCGGCTGTCATTCGTTGTTGCTTGTTGACTTCCGACAGTGTGTCAGGTACCCAGTTGCTTAACTTGTACCCTTTCCCTATGCGGTGCAGGTGAAGTCTGACTGTTCCATTAATAACCTGAAAACATTCGGCAAACTCATCACAGGTTTGGTTGTTGTCCTCTTTTATGGCCAGGGCCTCATCACGAAGGACCTGTGGCCGACAAGTGCAGTGTTCATCACAAAGGGGCACGGATCTCCTGAACTTCTGGAAACAATGGCTGGCGGTGTGTTCACTCACTACATTATCCCCAAAAGATTGACATATTTGGCAACTTGATGCGTTTGCGGATAAACCCATCTAGAAGTCATAAAGCAGACAACTCCGAAGGAGCTGCTTTGACAGTACTATGTTCCTTCCTCGCTGCTCGAGGTATGACTGATGTGTTGGCACAACGCACCCGCGTTCATCAAGTGCAATCAATATGTTTATATGACGTCGCATTGAGTGAGTTGAAATCGATTCCATCAAACATGAGAACACCGGAATTAAAAATCAGTTGCGTATTTACAGACAAAACAATCAATGAAAGCGAATGTATTGTCATTCGAATGTACTTTGGAAGAAAAAAATAATATAAAATAAAAATTAAAATTTTGGAAAATTTACCGATAAAAGTTAAAAGATTTAAGAAAAATTTGATGAACAGAAATTGTTCATTGTATAAACAAAACATGTTTAATATATATAGCCATTTTGTTTCAACTCTTCTGGTGTCAAGAGATGATGTTGATTTCAAAATAAAGATTTTTTTTTTAAATTCAAAACCAACCAAACCTCTTCAATAGGGGAAACATGGTTTCGTAACCCAAGATGACTAATCAGAATACACGTATACGATAATTCAAAAAACGTGACAACATTTCCTAAATACAAACTATTAGTGAATTAAAGTTAATGTTAGATCAAACTCGAAGTCAGCATGAACTAATTAATTTCTAATTTCACAGTAACATTAAAATTACAAATTTCAAATTCTAAATTTAACCGAGCATTAGGT